AGCTGTGTATGAAGTTCTTGCACATACTGTAATTAATGAATGCTTTAACAGTGGTTATTTATTTTCCTTATATACTGAAGGTGTCTAAAGTGATACCAAGTTTCAAACACGGCAATAAAAAAAAACTAGCAATTACAGGCCTGCTTCACTCTAATGTGCATTTTCAATGGAGTTTGAAAAACTAATAGGATTACAGTTTATAGGGTAACTCTATGCAAATAGTCTGTCATCCATAAGGTTTTAGAAAGAAACATAACCATATGATGCACTTATTAGATTTTTTTTTCAGAACTGTCTTGAAGATAAAAGAATAAATTAAATGTTAATGCCAAATTTTATGACCTAACAAAAACTTTTCACTCATATGTCCTTACTACTAAAGACGGGGTTCATTGGCTTTTCCAACTTAGAAGTGACATAATTCAATACAACAATGTCTTGAAATCTCCACATGTGGATTGCACAGTATGTACTGCAGGACTCATTACTAACCCCTTTCATGTATCATATGTTAAATGTGTAAGTAGTATTAAATGATCTATCTAAACAACATTGAATCAGAATTAGAGAAATGTTTGCTTGATAATTAACATATTTTAATGGAAATTTTTAGGTTAAGCCGAAACACCTACAGTCATGATGATTGATGTCGATGTTGATTATATATCATTGATTGATTCATCCATACATTCATTCATAGATTTATTTTTTTTGTTAACTTCATAATTGGTCCATAGATAGTCCTCCTTTGTTTAACTCAAACTTACTGAATGTCAAGTGCTAAAAGATCAGCTTGTCCAACAAACACAAGAGCTGATCATCTAAAACAAATATGGATGATCAACCAATCAAATTCTTTGGAATTTTATTAAAGGTAACCTTTCTAAATATACAATTTTGAAAAGGGCCCCATAGCCCCATGTAATAAAATTTTATTTTCAGAAACACAATCAATTTGTGATTTTTCCCCTTTTAACCCTTGGACTCAGAGATCTCACTCCACATACTTTACCCAAGAGTTTGTCCGCATTTTGTGCATGAATGATATTCGGAATTATCAATTAACAAAAGGATGCTATTTATTTGCATTATTTACTATAAAAAAGAATAATATTTCCAGAAAAAACATTCTAGCCAATCCTTATAACTAAACATAGGTGTCTACCATATAAGCATGAGAATGTCTGATACAGGGCTACTAACCCTTAATAGGCAAATACACTAGATTGTCATTCAGAAACAACATATTATGAAACAGAAATGGTCATGTTTTTAGAAGTTTTCTTATAATTTTACGTGTAACGTGAAATTTGTTTGGGAGCAATTTGAGTCCAGCCGCATAAAAATAAAATTACTTCAAACTAAGAAAACTTTAAAAACTGAAAAGTTTACAACACATGTAAAATTGGACATAAATAGCATATCTAAAAGGAGAAGTTCATGTGAATAATTTTCAGAGAGTTGCAAAACATTATGAGCACTTGGGGTCAGAAAAGCCCCCAAACAAAGTCTAAGGGTTAAGTAAACAATTTGGGGAGTTACAGACAAATTAGGGAAAGACACTCTCTAATCAATTTGGCAATCTATAAATGGTTCAACATAAAACTCATTGTATTAATTAATTGCATCAAACTTATTTAATTATCCTTGTATGATGTTTTAAAGATTTACCTGTAAAATATATAATTTAAAAAATTAATGGAAATGGGGGCACAGAAGGGAACAGGGCTCCGAATTGCTGTTACTCCCCTCTTGTATTAGGCCATGAGTGCAAGCATTGTCAATAAATAGACTGAACAATTAACAGGTATAAATGAATTAATAGATGGATAAATGCATGCATGAATGAATTGAGTTCAATTGAGTTCGATATAATTTGTTTGATGAACCTTATTGCTATATTGATTTATAAATTACTTTATTTGTTAATCAAAGTCAATTTTATGTTAAAATATGACATCAAGATCTCTTAGTGATTTAACATTTGGCATTTTGTCGTATTGCCTCTTCGTTTTACACGTTAAAGTTGTTATTGGCCTGGGGTTTCTTCTAGTTTCTTGGTGCGCATTATTTTCCACACACGTTTTTTTGAGCCCTCGCTTCGCTAGATTCGAGAGAAATGGGAAGTACGGTTATTTTGATGAAAGCAATTTTACGTAGAATTTGTAGTTCATTTTCCCATGCAAAATTGTTTTCAATATACGGGAGCGAACATTCCTCGTCACCAGATTTTGTCTGCAACTCTCATTGCTAGCATTTATTCTTAATACAACTAATGTTGAAAAAGGAATGGGTGTAGATATTCCTGGGCTCAAAACACGTGCGAATATAATGTTCAAGTAGGTAGACATCTCGCTCCAACTTTCTTCGCTGGTAAGCATCATTTCAGTGACGTTACGGGAGTTATAGCTCCAACCCGTTCTTCTAGCGACCTTCTGTCGGTTGTCCATCTCACGCAAATTGTGTGTGCTCAGCCACTTTTGTTATACGTAACAGTAAACGCATTCCGCACTTTCTAATTTCTTCATCCGTTGTAGATATCCGTGATCGGCGAGGAACTTCGAACGATGAAAGGACACTTCACCGTGAAGGAGTCGAAGGAGGTTATTTGCGGGATGAACCTAACTGTCCATCTTCTTCTGCTTTCATGCCAGTGCTCCATTTCGTTTATGTCATCTTATGGAGTGCATTTATCGCTATCCCTACCGAAAGTTTAAAGAAAATATTGAGAGCCGTGTGTGAGAATATCTTGTTTTTGTGATTTTTAAAAGTGCACATACTGCACGCAATATTGCGCGAAAACTACTATTAAAACTAATGTTCATGACCTTAATGAAAGAAATCACTATGGAAAACAAATTTTATCTGAAGAAAAAATCTATCTTTGATTTTCTAGTTGAAGAAAGATATCGAAAAAAATTGATACTTTTGAAATTTTCAAAAATTCAGAGTTTATCGTGAAAATCGGACCTATGACACTTCGTTGGCACACAAGTGTATGTAACAAGCGTATTCTTACAAGAAATTTAAATAAAAAATTTTGAGCCGTTTTCGAGATAACTTTGAAAATGTCCGGAGGGCTTCATGTAAAGTACCCTCAAATTTTGAAGAATGCTTTTCAAAATCTCGAAGTTTCGACTAGTGCCTGATGGGCAGGCTCAAGTTTCTTCAATTTGGAAAAAATCCTACGCATGGTTTATGAGCTAGTAATGTTCACAGACACCAGACGAACGGACAGTCAGACTGACGGACAAACATATGGACAGATAAACGGACAGACGGACGTTTTGTATATATGTATATGTATATGTGTATATATATATATATATATATATATATATATATATATATATATATATATATATATATATATATATATATAAATTTTCGGTTTCAGGGGACCCCAAAACGGTATTTCCGTTGAAATCTCGAAAACGATTTTCCGCAGCATTACATAACTTTCCCTATACTACGTATATTACTCTGTATATATGTACACTACGGGAAAGTAATTAGTGGTGCTACACAATGGCATACTTTCCCGTATTAGTTTTCTATTTTCATTGGTCTCGAATAGCTATTCGGCATTGCCGTATACTCTTGCCACCTGGCATCTATCGCCGCTCAAAGTATTTTTATTTTAATACTTTTTCGACTTCCTAATAGTAGAATCGAATTATTACTTTAAAAATATTAAAGAACAGTAAAACCTTGTCCCAAATGGCAATTTGCATTGAAAAATTTGGAACGGTTTTTTAGAAAATGGCATTTAAGCGCTACTGTAAATTCGAAATTTGAACCTCTTTCCACATATAACTATTGATTTTTCAAAAAACTTCATGTGACGTCATTTCAAGCACTTCCAGTCACAAATGCAATAATGTTTACAAATTGCTGAAAATGTGCATCCTAAAGGCATTAGAGATCTTTTAAAAATTTACATTTGTGTACCTTTTTTTTAATAATAATTTAATTTACATCAAAATTAATTCTATGTCAACGCAAATAGTGCAATTGGCACTATCTGTTTGAAAAGTTTCAAGACAAATTTTGGAGCTGTTTTAGAGAAAATGGTGCTTGCGCGTTTCTGAAAATGCGGAATTTTGAGCTCATTTTCACGAAAAACTTGAGTTTTTAGGAAACTTTGTCTGACACTATTTAAAACATATGTACTCATAAATACATTACTGTAAAGAAATTGCCGCCAATGTAAATATTAACGACGTGGAAGATGAATTTAAAAAAATTAATTTTTGTAATTTTTTAAAACAAAAAGGAAAAAATAGGGCAATACGTCATCTTATAGAGTACAATTAACATAATCCCTATCAAGGGTTTAAAGAAAAAATTGGGAGCAGTTTTGAGAACATTTGTTTTTTTTGTATTTTTTAATTGTACATATTGCTAGCAAAATTGCGTGAAAACTACTAAAATAAAATTTAAAAAAATGTACATGATCTTAATGAAAGAACTCACTATGGAAAACAAATTTTATTTTATGGAAAAAACTCTATCTTCAATTTTTGAATTGTAAGAATACGCCCGAAAAAATTCGAAATTTTCGGAAATTCAGAGTTAAACCTTTAAATCTGACATATGCCACATTTATAAATATATTTATCTTTATTCTTGCAAGAAATTGAAAGAAAAAAATTGAGCCGTTTTTGAGAACATTTTGAAAATGTACTGAGGTCTTTATGTAAAGTGCCCCGATTTTTTTTTTCGAAACCTCTAAGATTCGTCTCGTGCCAAATCGACACGGGTTTCTTCAATTTTGAAAACAATCCTACGCAAGGTTTAGGGGTTAGTTGTGTTCTCTAACACCAGACAAACGGACAGAGGAACAGACGTTTTGAAATAAAAAAAGAAAAAACAAGCAACACTTTTTCGGTATTAGGAGGCACCAAAACGTGTATATACGAGGAAATCGGTTTTCCGCAACATTACATAACTTTTCCTATACTACGTATATGGGAAAGTAAACATTTGAACGCTACCACTTAAAAAATTTGCACAAAAACAACAAATCTCTGAATCGCGACAGGAAAGGATAATGAACATTCAGAAAGGGTAATGAACATTCACTCGGGCAAACCTTCTAACTTTATTATTGGGCAAAAAAGCCGAGATGATTTCCTTCATTCACTCATGTCTCCGAAGTTCAGTTTAGCTGTCAGCTGTCCTTGTTTTCCATTACGTACTTCCTAGGTCGGAGTGAGATTATGGAAATAATGGATATTCTTTGACCTAAGGGAGGCCGGGAAAGTCTGAAAGAGGAAGATTGAGTCGATCAGTTTTTGGTGAATTTATTTTATTTCAAGTAAATAGTGTAAAATTAACATGCCAGCAATTTCGTAGTTTTCTGCATTATGGAGAAGGCAGCGTCCCTGGAAAACACGAGTGAACCGACACTTACCGTAGGTGTTGCCCATTGAACATGGTAGGGTTTATGGAAATCGTGAGGTTATGATAGACACTTAGAGGATATTAATGTTTATTTTAAGAAATTATAGTTTATTATGTTATTAAATTGCTGTTATACAGTACTTTTTCTTCGAAATTCCATTTTAATTTTTTTTTTTTTTGTGTTTGATGATATTTTTGGTTTGATAAATGCTTAGAATGCAATGCAGATGTAAATTCTACCTTGCATTTATCAGGTAATTATTTTACTAGCATTGAAAATCCGTGCTTGACATTCTTTTTGGTTTGATGGTAAATTATGTGCTGTTGGAGTTGGTCAGTATGATATGTGTTTTCTTAGTTATTTGTTGAAAAGTAATAAATGGATCATAACTGGATAATTTGTCTATATAATATGAACATCATTATACATATAATAGAACAGTAAAAGTAAACTCTTCATATATTTTGTTATTTTTTCCTAGGTCAAGCAGGAGTGGGACAATTTTGATGATCTGGAATCAAACAATGTGAGTGGTATTGTATAATGTAAGACTGATATGATTTTAATGTTTGTTGTATCAGTTTTCTCATTATAACCTCTTTTAATGTTTAAAAGTTGTTACTGTTTGTTGAAGATTTCATATATTCTAACAATAAACTACTCTAGAATTATGCCTTCAATGAAATAACATTCACTGATTTAATAAAACGTTAAGCAAATTGGAATGTGAAGTTTGTCCACTATGTAGATATTGACACTGAGCAAATCTTGAATTCTGGAATCAATATTTCAGAACAAGATTGTCACATATCAGTTTGATTTCGTTGTTCATGAATAAGAAAAGTACAAAAGGGATTTCAATCTATCCATGTCACAAGTTGATAAAATATATGTGAAGTTAAATATGAATTGGGGCATTTATTCTGGATTAATTTTTATTGGGTGCATTAGGTTCTATTGAATGCATTTCCATGCCTCCTAAGAATAATTAATTTCTTTGATCAGAAAATGAATAAAAGTACACGAATTCTTCCATAATGTCTTGGTTTAAACAAACCTCCTCAAAATTCTGAAATCTCAATGATTATATCGCAGAATAAGATAACAATAATTGCAAAAATAATAATAAATAATCAATTCTTTATTGCTATTCCAATCAACAGATGGTACGTCTTTATGGCACATTCAACTACCAGTTTGTGAGTGTCAATTTCACATTGGTGTGTGCATGAAAATAAAAATTAAAGAGAATTTTATTATAGTACCTGAAAAATTATGATGCAAGTACAGTCTACTCTGGTTATAGTGAACTTGAGTCGTGTGTCCCATTTCACTTACATTACAAATAATCATAAGATCTGGTTAAAATGAACCTGAACCTCGGCTACAGTGAACGTAGTCCTGGAAATTAATTGGATCTTATATGTTATTAGGCAAGTAAAAGGGCCTTCAGAGTGGGATGGTATTCCAACTGTACAAGAGGAAGTGAACAGTTCAAAACTGCATTACGATACTTAGAGACAATGCAGTATCAAGTATGGAGAGAGCACTAACTCTGGAGAAGGTTCTAGAGAAAGTACTTATGAAAAATGTATGAAGCAAACAATTGAAAATACGTAATTTTTTTAAGAGCAAATAAAGATATTGAAATTTTCAGTTCATGCTGTTAATGACTTTTGCTATATCTCTTAAGTTAATAAAATCATTCATTCTGGAAAATTCTATTTAATTTTGACATCATTGGATATAGTGAACCAAACGTGTTAGTTCCCAGAAGATCACTATAGCCGGAGCGACTCTATGATAATCAAATTTAAGTATGTTGCTCTTCCTGGTTTGCCCATATCTGTTGGTCCTTTTGCGTGATACTTCGTCACTAGTTGTGAAATTTTCTTCATCCTTCATACATGATTTGCTCTCATACAGGAGAATTGAAACAGTTATTGTCTTCAAAAATTTTTATTTTTGTGTCTTTCCTTGATTTATTCTGAAGAGGTTTGTTTATAATTCCACTCACTGATTGAAATTTATTCATTTTATTTTGTATGTCATTGTCCAAGACAACTGATATCACAACCAAGGTAATGAAAATTGGAAATATAATTAATCACTGAGTCATCAAGTACTATTTTTGAGCGGACAAGGAATATACCATCACGGATCATAACTTCAGTCTTCTTTTTAGATATTCAGAGATTCTTAGTTTCACCAAGTTTATGTAGTTTATATAGAGCTCTTTGTAATTCTTGTTCACTTGTACATGACCTTATTTCAAGAGGTTTTTAAAGGACAGATTTCATTCACGAAAAACTCTCTATCTTGTAGTTCAGACAAATGTATCTTGCACATTTTAGTTGTGGGAAGGTGCTGAAAAGATTTGAAGTTTTGTAGTATTTGAAAAATCAGTGATTTCAGCAAAAACGAGATTACAGCATCCTCTTAAACATCTTACACTATTAGAGAACAAAGTTTAATAAAAATATTTGGATCCATTTTTGAGAAAATTTGGAAAATGTTCAGGCTTTAGATGAAGTTTCCCCCTGAAATTAAAATATCTGTCACAAACTTAGAGGTCCTTCAGTTCATTTAAATCAATTGGTGAATATCAACTTTGGTGGAAATTGGCAGAATGGTTTAGGTATTAGAATTGACCACATACAGATAGTCTATCAGTTAGTGCTATCAGTCAGTATCAGGGTCTCAGTAAAAATGAATTGTGACGAATGAACATGACAGAGGAAGTAATTTACTATTATAGGAACAGGGTTTTTCCTTACCGGCACCCATCAACAATAGTTTTTCTTTTGAAAATTCGCCATTTTCTGGCTCACGATTACAATATTTTCTCTTCTTACAAAGTAAGGGCAAGAAAGTGGAAAAAGTTGATGGATGTTAAGGAAGTTGTTTGCAGTTAAAAGTATTGTAGTAAAAATGTTTCTCAAGCTAGTGCCAAACTTTGTTATATGTTAGGGAATATAAAATAAGTGTGAGTTACTAATAATTAGAGAATGTCTTCTGTGTAATTCAGTGCAGCAACAATCCTATTTTGCAGATACTGCAGATTTTCCATTCACAAAACTGGAAGAGTCAAATTTAGGGCTGGTATGATTTAAATTATTGTTTTAAATTATATGATCTTTTTAAAGCAACGATTTAAATCAATATTTATTATTTGTAATAATTGAAAATATATTTGTATTTTCTACATCATGATTCTCTACATTATATTTAAAAAATATTTGTAAAATAAAAGTTCATCAGATAAAAGGACTTAAATCAATTACAAAGTCGATGTTAAGTATATATTATATTTCTTATAAACTTTTTTACATAATTGATCTATTTTGAGAAAATAATATACAATAAAATGAACAAACTTATGAATTGAAAAACAATAAACAATTTGTTGTAGAGTTATATCTAATAGACTTAGATGATCTTTTAGTTTTTATGCAGCATTTAAGTATCTGAAAATAAATACTAATTTAGCAGCAATACCACCCTAACACACAACAAGGTAGTATCGAGAAAAACATGTATAAAGCTTGAACGGTGTCCACTATTCTAGATTGTATTAAAATGTTTGTTGAAGACACTTGAAGTACATATTAAAGATGAGTGGAATTTTATTAATACTCATTTAAAGAGCAAAATTTATGTTAAAAGTAATGAAGTAGTATTTAGTCTTAGTAATTTTAATAATATTAGCTTTTTTCTTTAGGTGTATATTGATAAAATTCGATTTTAAGTGGGAAGCATACTTCCCACTGATCATTAAAGGGTGAAAGTGTGCAAGTAACAACCATTTTACCCCATATTTGGTTAATAACAAGATAATAAATTAAGTAGAATTTAATATTATCTTGTTTTTATGAAATTAAAAAATTTAATGATGAATTTAAAAACTATGTTTTTATAATCTTTATTCTGCTTTTAAAGTAATTAAGGATAAATAAATCACTTAATGATTTTGGTTTCAAGTAAAAACATCGAAGACAATTTAAAAAATCAGATTTTTTTTATTACAATGAATCATGATTTTTTTCCAGCGCTAGTCAAGGTACATAGATGTAAATCAGGATTGGTGCTTGATAGGCCATTTATATATTGTTAGGGAATTCAAGATATGATCAAATTTACATATTTCAAATGAGAATCAAATACAAGATCCGGGGAGCTTGAACCCTTGTTGCATGGGGTGAGTGTAAAGATGATGTGAGACACAAAGAAGAATTGAGTTCCCTTTTTTAAGAGCGATGCCATAATTAGATGAATTTAGTAGAGTAGACGGGATTCAAGGCTAAGCAGAACAATAAAGGGGTTAAAGAGTCACCCTGGAAAATCCCTCGGCGATGTGTATTAGTATCTGTGTGACGAGTTGTTTTCCATTAGAGAGATACAGTTTTGTATTCCATCGACTCATCGCGTTTTCAGAAAGTTTTGGATAAACGGGTGGACCTTGTATATATCCAAACATTGAAGGAGCCAAGAATGGGGCACGGTTGTCGAATGCTTCAACTTAATCTATGTAGCATGCGTACAAGTTTCTTTTTTTTCAAGCACTTGCCCCATAATTACAGAGTCTATAATGAGTTGCTCCTTGCATCCCTGAGATCAGGTCTACATCCTTTCTGTTCATTCGCTAAGATGTTCTGTTCTCAATGTGTGTCATCATCATTTGTGAAACACAAGATGTTATGAGTTTGTAGAAAGTTTGAAGGCAGGTTATAGGCCTGTACTTCGAAGGGTGTTTAGTGTCACCCTTCTTTGGTAACAAGAACGTTCTACCTTCAGTGAGGAAGTAAGGTAGATTTTCTCGGTTGTGAAGAAAAGATTGAAGTATATTAGCTATATGATGGTGAGTGCTGGTAATTTTTTTGAGCCAATTATTATGCAGGTCATCACTGATTGGTGCCTTTCAGTTATGTGCTTTATAAAAACTGTTTGGACAATTTCCACAGTGATGATTGGTTCACTCATTAGAAGGATATCTCGGTATCTGTCATATACCATTTCAATCCACGTCATATCTGGGTTGTGGGACACAGCAGATGACCAGATAGGCTTCCAAAAGTCCTCTATTTGTGCCCTTGAGGGAAGCATTGACTCTTTCATAACACTTACAAGCCCTTTGCCCTTTGACATATTCCTGTAGAATGCTTTCTGGTTTCTCTTAAAAAGAGTATTCTGTTGCTTCCTCGTAGTGCAATTCCTGTAGCGTCGAAGGCGTTTTGTTAACGCCAAAAGCTTTTGTCGTAGGGTGTCAAGATGATCTGTTATTGTTGAATTCAAGGGCTCGTGCTTCATATGTATTTTTGAATTGATAAGAATGCTGTTCACCTTTCTTATCAGTTTTTCTGAGGTATTTCCTTTTTTAAATTGTGTGAGTCTTCCAATATCTCTCCTTGTGCGTTGTATACGATTCACCAGCCGTCTTTCCCAAGTCGGCATTCTTTTTTCAATTCGACCATTGTGGGAAGTTGCTACGCGACTGAAAAGCTTGGAAGCTTACATATTGAAGCCACA